TGATATATTAGGCACTAACATACGACCAAGAAACATATATAATACAGGCTTCGCCAGGTGTATAGGCATCGTACATAATACTGTTCCTGTTATACATACACCCGAACAAAACCAATAACTTATACCCACTATATGCATCCTATCGCTTAATAAACCAGCCACCATAGAACCAAATGCACATATCGTTAAACATAATGCGCATGCAAATAAACGACCGTGCTCGGATAACAAAAAACACTGCAGAAAAAAAAAAAACACACACACACACACAAATATATTTATATTATATATATATATATATATTATATATATTATATATTATATTTATATTATATATTATATTTATATTATATTTATATTATATATATTATATATATTATTTATATTATATGTTATATATATTATATATGTTATATATATTATATATATTATTTATATTATATATATTGTATATAATATTTATATTCTAAACCCTAAACCCTAAACCCTAAACCCTAATCAAGAGGAAACCAGAAACACCAACCCCAGCACAAACAAACAAACTAAAGAGAAGCACCCGAAGCAGAAATTTTACAATATTTTCATAAAAAACACAAAATAATAAAAAAAAGAAAAAAAAAACAAAAAAAAACGCAAAAATATAAACAAAAGATGAAATCAAACACTGCAACTCTTCCTATTATTATTCTTACTATTATAATTATTTTATTTTATTTTATTTTATTTTATTTTCATATATTGTTGGTTATTGTTTTTAATATTATTAATATTATTATTATTATTTATATAGAAGATAACAACAAGCAAAAAAAAAGTAAATGAAGACAGAATACACCACGTATACACCCCACATAAGATCAATACATACATCTGCGAATATATATATATATATATATATATATATATATATATATATATATATATATATATATATATATATATATATGTATAGTTTACCTTGAATCTGTCATCCTTGTGTACATATGTTTCTCCCACAACGCCTGAGTGTGTGTTCCAGGCTCTGAAGGGCCAGGGCCATACAAGAAGGAATAGCTGCTGGGCGCATAGAGGGAGAAAGGGTGCGAGTACAACCCGAAAAGGTAAGTGATCTACTACTGGCCCCACCCATACAGCTTGAGCAAAGGTACCGATAGAAGAACAAAGCCATACAAAAGAAGTAAGAGCTGCTCCTGTATGAGGTTTCTCAGCCATTCTTCGGGTGTATGAACCCTCACATAATAAATCGTTGAAACTTGCTTGAACCATAATTAAGAAAAAACCAGCAACTGCTATACCCATAGTTAAGCGACCAGCAGAAGCTATCAATAATATAGATCCTATAACACCGCTGCTTGATGCTAGCAACATATAAGACCTTTTATGGTAACCACCAAGAGCAAACAAATCAGAAACTGAGCCCACGATGCCTTTTACACTCCAAGGGATCATAAAGAGAGCTGTGGCGACGCTGTGTTGCTCTGCTGGTAGCTTCAGAACCTCTCGGAATACAGGGGTAGATGCAGCGATGGCCATGTGGTATGCGGCACCCTTCAAGAACAAATAGTTCGACATTAAACATATCAGTAAAGAACCCCCAAACTCTTTGTGTAAACGAGAAAAATATAATAGAGGTGAACGCCACGGGCGCAGGCATAAGCGGCTGCATACGCTGCGTGATCTACCACCAGAAGAAGATGCAGCATCTTCGGACTTTCCCTGGTCTGGCACCACAGTGGGTAGTTCTGAGTCGTTTCTGAGCAAAAAAAAACACAAAAACAAAAAAAAAACAGAAAAATACACGCAAAAATAACATATATACCGAGAAAGCTGATTGGTTTTTCTTGAACGTCATCGAGCACTGCGCACGGAAAGCTGCAGGTTACTGAAAACGAATTCATCTACAGATGTAAACTCTGAAACCCTGAGAAAGGAAACAAAGAATTCAATGAAGTGAAGAGCCAAGAATCCTTACTTTGGAGCTAAACCCTCGAGAGCAGCCAGCTCAAGCGCGGCGGCTGAGACATCTGGCGCTGTAACCCCCGCTGCATTCATCTTGGGGGAATTTAGCGCTTTCCAAAGGTTTTATCGTTAGTTTTTCCCTTGTTGGTTTCTTTTCATTTCCACGAACGGCCGTTTCGGTCCTGTCCGGCACATTAGTTGCAGCTGTTTCGGCCGTGCTGTTCAAGCACAAGGTGCAGATTCTGAAAGGCAGCCGTCGTCTTCAAGCATAAAAAGCTTAAACTCCACGAAATATCTGGAAACGAAAAGAAAAAACTGAAAGGAAATACCATAAAACCAACGGCTGCATTGGAGGGGAGAGGCAGGAAGTGGGAAAGGCGAAGGACAGTTCCTGCCCGTGAAAACTCAGCGGTCCAAGGGGCCAAAGACACTCATAAATGAATTTATCAACATAACAGTAGAATAACAGTATGAATACAAATTTATAAAGCAAGATCTCTCACCACAAAGCCACAAAGAAGATGGCGCTACGTGGGACTGCAGCGGCCCCGCGTAGATGAGCAAGTAACGGACTATGTGAACAATTTGTGATGAAAACAGCTGGCAAACATGAATACAAGAAACTCACCCAATCTATTTGTCAAAATGAACGCAAAAACGCCAAAAGATGCAGATATAATGTTGTAGATGGCACTACCGCTACGTGTTGAGGCGTGTTAGTCATACCGGGTAGCCGCTGAGACCGCTGGTGGGTGGGGCACGCAGTAACGCGACCTTCCCTCTTCTTTCATGAATCAAATTCAATTTTACCTATATAATTCTGTATTTAATAGGAAATCGAGTTTATTCAATGTATATTCAGCTCGCTGGCCGCCAAAATCCCTAGCTTTCCGCACAGCTTCCTCCCTACATTGCGGGTGTACACAGAGTCTTCGACCCTAGAAAAACAGCATCGTGAGTTGCTATACCGTCAAAATACTGAAGATAGGAATTGAAAAACGTACCTGAATTCCGTTGCAGTCACCAACAGTCCGGTGCACAGCGGCCGAGAGAATTGGCTCCGCCGCGAAAAAAAGGTGTATAGCATAGCCTGGGTTCTGTGTTGGTTTGGTAGGTGCAAAGCTAGTTCTGCACGTGCTGGCTATATACTGGTAAATAAGTGCTTAGTAACTGCATACAATATTAGTTCACATAGCCAAGGAGGCTTAAATTTGCTTACTAAACGCACTTGCATTGGGCTTCTCTCCGCATCAGCTGCAGCACGCGGTGCCTGCCAGTGTATGACCGTTGCCTTTCCTTNTTGGAAAGTGTTTTCTAGTGCATTTAATTCTACTTTAGCTCGCGGCAATTATCACCACAGTTCCAGGGCTCGCGCGACACTTGGGAGCGCCGCACTGTTCTTGCCGTAAAATTCAAGAAGCAAAACTCACCCCAGCATCAGGGCGGCCTGGGCCATAGCGGTGATGGAGCTTGCAAAAAGTGCTGTCGATACTCGCACAAAAATATGTATCAAACTCCAACCCTTTTCTCCTCTTGCATAATGGAGTCTGGTCGCTATCTGCCCGGCGATGGGGCAGCACTCAACGGCTGTGCTCTGCATTTAAAACAAACACATTCTCGGCCCCCCGTTCAGCTGAAAATGTGATTACAACAAGAACAATTTATAACGAATGCCTCAGCCTTCGCCGAGCATTCACTTATGACGAATGCCACGATGCACAGGCAGTGCAAGAGTTCCTTACTACTCTTGACTTGTAATTTTGTCTTCAAAATGCACCCGGAGCACGTGCGGTTGCTATCTTCTTTTTTTGGAAGGGAAGGAACGAGAATGGTGGTTATATCTAGGCAAGAGTATGGCTCTTTCGGAACATTGAGAATCATGCACGCTTTTCGAGATGCACTGCGACGTAGGCTCCTATCCAGACATGCAAGGTAATATATGGCAGAGCTGAGAAAACTTAAACAAGGGAACATATTGATAGAGCGCTGCATCGAAGAGTGCCAGTCGTTAATGAGCAGAAACCCAGCAATGGGCACGGAACTTCTATATCAATGGTTCATTGGAGGGCTCTCCAACGGAAAGATGCAATCGGCAAGCGGCTGGGAAGCGGATAGTCGGCGATAAGAATGCTGACTTGCAAACGAACCAGAGAAAGAGCCTACCGAAATTGGGAGAGTTAGTACAATGTCCGCTTCCAACAATGTAAGGAGTGAAGACTGACAATAACCGGCTAGGCCTGCGCTTAGGAAGCTAGAGGGACGTACAGGACAGGGCATCTGCTTCTTCTGCAACATGCACGCTCATATCTGCCTGCTTATACAAGTTCGTTTCAACTGCCATGAGTTGCTGGCACTCGTTGACACAGGCTGTGAAGTGGGGATAATTGATGATACAGAGAAAAGGTGTAACCTGCTTCCTGCTTCCCCATTCGTTGCTGCAGTTTCTGCCACGGCTCTTCGTTGACGGCCGACAGGCTAAGAGACTGGGCAAATATGTGGAAGTAAAACCCGGGCTCAATTTTAGAAGTGGGACACATTGCCGTGATACAACACTTCTACGTTGGACCAGTTCACAACGACATAAGCCTAGGCGTGCCATTGTTGACCCCTTTCGGTGAGTGGATGCGACTTCCAGACGACACCGACAATCCCAATTTACGAGGAAACACTGCCTATGTGTCCTCAGAAGCTGAATCAGTGTGCCAAAAAGTAGGGAAGGTGGATATTCCAACACAGTGCAAAGCCGCTGCAGGAAACGCCGGAAAAATGTGTGCGCTCCATCGTGACTGTCCTACGAAGGAAGCACTTCTGTGGGTTCGAAGCAGTTAAAGCCAGAGGAACACCAGAAGTGGCAACAGTTTAAGGAAGAGTACTCAGACGAGCTAGATTCAAGGGGTGGCCCCCGTGGACGCCCGATGCACTGCATCGAACTGGCTACGAGCGGTGCACCAGGTTAAAGTCCAATGCACAGGCGAGTAGAACAGAATATCGGAAGGCAGTGGATGTCACTGCTACATATTGGATTGGAAGGATGAGAGTGCTCCTCTTTGGAGGCTGTATCGGAGCTGCCACCTGCAGCTGAAGCTGAAGCGGCTCGCTAAGGGTGTTGCTGGGGTTAAAGGCAATGGTGGCCCTAAATAGTGGTCTGATTTGGAGCACTCGTATAGCGCCGAAGTCAGGTAGGTTACCACTGATATCAAGAGGTATGGTGGAACCTCTCTGGAACTGTACCCCGTGGCTTTTCCGTTCATTGAAGCTGTCACCGCGACCGCTATGTTTCTCACTTAAGCGCGAAGCACCAGCTCCCAGANTTTCCGTTCATTGAAGCTGTCACCGCGACCGCTATGTTTCTCACTTAAGCGCGAAGCACCAGCTCCCAGAGAGCAGCATGCGCTCTCTCTGAAGCATTGCGCTAACGTTTTGCTAGCCTCGATGTCGCCACACATTGCTGGCGCCGGTGGATCAGCAGCCTTTCCCAGCAATGTAATTTTCCCCACCAAGTTTTATGCTGTGACGAATGGTAATAGAAACGATAGCAAGCGCCGTAAACACCACACACCGCTGTGAGTCGCCACAGCTTTCTATGCAAGCGCTCACACTTGTTGTGTTTTGCCAAACGGTAGAGAAAAGAGGGGCGTTCGACTCCCTCTGGTAGTCTCAGTGAAGTTCTCGGCACCAGTGCTATGCTCGTCTATGCCTCTCAGCCGAGTAGAGAACTGTGAGGCTTGAGTCTCTTCAGCAGAAATCCGAACCAAACTTATGCAATGAATCGCTGCAGTAGACTAAGCCCTGTCTCGTACTGGAAGGCATTAGACGAAGACAATGGGCCCGGTGCGAAGCAACGCTTCAGGGGAATTCGGCAGTTTCCCCTTATTCCCAGTTGCTACTGAATATCGAAAGGAAGAAAGACCCTGACAATTTGTTCCTCACAACAATGGCTAGAGGCCAAGATAATCCCTAGCTTCTAGCGAACTGTTAGCTATCAAACGAACCCTATTCAGCTAGGTTTGCAGTTTCCATTCCCCAGAGCTCCAAGCTCATCGCGAATTTGCCAAAGGATTCAAAAAGCTGCCCCTAAATACCCGTAATCCTGGCAACCCTGACCCGAGTATTTCTGCAGACAAATCAGCACGAATTACTTGCAACTCGACAGCAACAAATCAGATCAGTAGCTTTCACTTCCTCTTTCATATATTCCTCGCACTTGCTGCCAATTCAGTACAGACTACATATGTATATATTTGGTTCGGCTAACGTAGTCAAACATATTTACGAAGGTGCAGAATCATCCATGGCTGAGCCATAGCGCCAGGCAGCATCAGCTGAATAGGCACTGAGTGCTCTCCTACTTTTCCTAGAGGCCTACAAACATATTCATTCTCCACAAAGCCTTCAATAGGCC